AGAGGCCCTGGTGTAACTCTGTTGCCTTCAGCAAGGTTATGACCAGAGTGGCTTCAGCTGCAGCTCATTTCAAGCAATGATACCCCAAAAAATGGAGTCTGAGGCTTTTACTTGAGGTTGCTGGTTGTTGTCCAACTGCTTCAGACCCTGCTGGTCGCAGGTCCCCACTGGGTCTGTGAAATGCCTCAGGAAGGAGGTGTGATGTGGTCTCAGTTCTCTTTGCTGAGCCACAAAAGTCATCACAGATATGTACAGTTTTGTGGTGAAAGACCCGTCTTTGAAACAAGCACAGGGGGAGCTTTTGCCACCCTGCAATAGCAAACCCCATCCTGTGGATATCACCAGTGTTGCTCGTGGATCTGTTCAGAGTCCCATGATAAAGGCCAATGGTGGCTGTTTCTGGTGACTGCTAATAAAGCTGGGACAGCCCAAAAACTCTGCTAAAAATTTGCTGTTTTTTCTGAGACTTGTTTTCTTGCTGTTCTCTTATCACTTCTCCAAACCGGAAATTTTGAGTGCCTGTTACAAGGTTGTCGAGTCCTTCAAAATAAAATCTTTTGATGTGTGAAGTGGGAATCTAATTTTCCCTGGGATTCCTGCTGCCTGCATCTTTCTTGGCTTGGTCCATCCTCAAAGCAGGGAGGTGCTGAATTTCTTAGGAGTCTTTTGCTTCCCTGTTGCCATACAGGCAGAGCAGAGCCTATGTTATTGAAACCAGTGGTTATTTAGTCTGTCAGAGAGTGGCAGATTTTGGATTTCTTCACTCTTGGAGATGAGACTTTAACTGCCATTGGCTATTCTTGCAGTAGAAAATCCCCCATCCCTGGAACTGTTCCAGGCCAGGTTGGATGGGGCTTGGAGCAACCTTGACTAGTGGAAGGTGTCCCTGCCCATGGCAGGGGGTTTGGAACTGGATGGTCTTTAAGATCCCTTCCAACCCAAACTTTTCCGTGATTCTGTGAAAATACAAGCATCTGCTTAGACTGTTAGTGTTTCAGTGCTGAAGTCTCCTGGTGTCACCAGGAGAGGAGACAGGATGCCATCCCTCCTTGATAGATCCATGTGGCACGTCATGGATTCAGTGCATGCAAACAGGATAACAAAATCAGCTTATATGTGACATCTGAAGAGCTACAGAGCAAGGATGGCTCACAGCAGAAACTGCTTGGGTGGCCAAGAAGGCCAACAGCATCCTGGCTTGTGTCAGCAATATGTGGCCAGCAGGACTAGGGAAGTGATATTCTCTTCTCCCAAGTAACAAACACAGGATAAGAGGAAACAGCCTCAAACTGCACCAGGAGAGGTTTAAGTTGGATAGTAGGAAAAATGTGTTTAACAGAAAGGTTGTCAAGCACTGGAACAAGCTTCCCAGGGCAGTGGTGGACTCACCATGCCTGAGGGATTTAAAAGCTGTGTGGATGTGGCACTTGGGGCCATGGGTTGGTGGTGGCCTTGGCAGTGCTGGGTTAACAGTTGGACTCAATGATCTTAGAGGGCTTCTCCAACCTAACCCGTTCCATGACACACAAAATAGTTCACAGTGGGCTGGAAATGCACGTGAAACTCTGAATTCCTTCTGAATCTGCTGGGCTTTGCACTTTCAGTCATTGCTACGTTCGGTCTCTCCTGTTTGTTTTCTTTCAAGCTGCTGCTGAGGCCTTTCAAAGGCCAAAAAGTGCCAATTTAGGAGGGAAAACGTGACTTCTGTAAAAGGCTTTCAAGTGAAGCACAAGCCTCCAGCTTGAGATTCAGCTGTGTGATGCTCACTTTAGTTTTCCATCTTATGAGACTACCAAGCCTTATGCACAGGCTGCCCACGGGCTCCTGTTGTGCCTCCGCCCCCGAAATCCCACATTTGTGAAGTTTCTGATTTTTTTTTTTTTTTTTTTGGAAGTGTAGCTTCCTCCTTGTGACCACCAAGTGGTGCTCTGCACTGCACCTTGCAGCAAGGCAAGCTGCTGGCATTTTGGGATGGGGGGGGAGGGTGTTAAAAAGCTGTTTTCAGATGTAGGAATGAGCCAGAGAGGAGAAGGAAACAAACGAAGAGCCTTTTCCTTCCCCCTTGCAGTGGTTGTGCTACAGGGATCACATTTTTCACAGCTTTCTGCTGTGGCTGGTGGTGATTGATGAAGCTTGGTGATGATCAGCTGTGATAAGTGGTCTCAGCACTTTCAATTTGGGTGTTCAGCTCTGCTGCCTTCGAGGCTTTGGAGACGCGGAGATGGCTATCTGTGGCTTCAACACTAGATCCTGGCAGGTGTCTGGGATTTGGCTTGCTAAAATCACAAGAAGCTTCTAAAATCCTTGTCCCAAAGTAGTTTTTCAGAGATAAAAATCTGATGCCTGTTCTCTCTTGGCTGCTTTTTCACCCAGTCTAAGGAAAGCCTCTGTTCACGTCCCTCTTCTCTGCTGTTCCAGCTGTTAAATTTTGGGAATGTTTATAGCTGTGTTGCTCTCAGCAGGGGCAAAAAACCTGCATTAACTTGTCTTTGCAGGTTTCCTGTGAGCACTCTCCAGGTGCCATTCTCAGCTTCACATCTGTATGTTTTATATGAAAACATGCAGTTTGACAGAGAAAATTCTTATGTTGATTCAAAATGATGGGCACACTGTAAGACAGAAACTGCCTATAAAATGGGAATTTAAGGGGCTAACTACCTCCCTGTAAGCTCCATTAGATGCTCTGCGTGGTATAATTGTGTGCAGGAATGATTTTTCCCCAAAAGCCAGGAGATAGCAGGATGATGCAGCTAAATCCAAACAGCAGCTCATTTGTATGAAATACAGGACTAGAACTGAAAGGTGGCAAGTGGGGTTGTCTTGTCTGGTGAGCTGAGAAAAACATGCAGTGTTTGAAAGCAAATCCTTGATACAACCTCTCAGTCATCAGCCTGTGTCAGCAATAGTGTGGCAGCAGGACCAGGGCAGTGACTGTTCCCCTGTGCTGGGCACTGGTGAGGCCTCACCTCAAATCCTGGGGTCAGTTTTGGGTCCCTCGAGACAAGAAAGACATTGAGGGGCTGCAGTGAGTCCAGAGAAGGGAACAGAGCTGAGGAAGGGTCTGGAGCACAAGTCTGAGGAGAGGCAACTGAGACAGCTGGGGAGGCTCATCCTGGAGAAAAGGGTGCCCAAGGGGACCTTCTCCCTCTCTCCAACTCCCTGATAGGAGGGTGGAGCCAGGTGGGGGTCGGGCTCTGCTGCCAGGGAACAAGGGACAGGATGAGAGGAAATGGCCTCAGGTTGTGCCAGGGCAGATTTAGTTTGGATATTAGGAAGAATTTCTTCACTGAAAGGGTGGTCAGGGACTGGAACAGGCTGCCCACAGCAGTGTTGGAGTCACCATCCCTGGAAGTGTTCAAAAGGCATATGCATGTGGTACTTAGGAACATGTTTTATCGGTGAACATAAACACGGTGCTGGGCTAACTGTTGGACTCAGTGATCTTGGAGATCTTTCCCAACCTTAATGATTTTATGATTCCCCAAGTTTCCCAGTTTGTTTCTCGTGTGCTTTGTGGAACAGCTGTGCTGGAGTGCCATCACATCCAGCAGCAGAGAGGAGAGGAGTGAAGCATCACCTTCTTTACTTACAGCAGGAAGGATTTGTGCAGCCCCTCGGGCGTCCTACCTCAGCCACTGCATCTCATTGCAGTGTCTGTGACCTGTATGAGGTACAACTCCAGCAGAAATAATGGGATATCTAGGTAACAAATGGGGATTTGGATGGATTGTTGGTTTTTAACATGGTCCTAGACCCTCAGCTAAAGCGTCAGCCCAGGTGCAGATGGGCTGTCCCAGTCTGAGCACATCAGGAGGGAATTTTCTACAGGGCTAAGCAGAGCTTTGTGCAAATTAGATAAAGTGCTAAATACTATGTTTTAGTTTCCAGCTTTGACAAACTAACCATAAGAAATTCAAAGCATGTCATTGTTTTAGATATTATCTTTTCCTGGTGGGTGGCTCCATTAGGAGCTATTAAGTAGCTCTGATGCAAATTCTGGCTTAGGAAGTCCTCAGGACTTTGGTAACTAATAGCTGGGAAGAGAAAGTGTGGGAAGACTGGCTCTGTGTGTTCCCCACTCTGGTCTTTCTTTAGCATCTGTGGCCAGTTGTGGTTGGTAATAGGATGTGGACAGAAATGGCCTTTGGTTTGATCCAGCACAGTCCTTCCCGTGTGACCATTTTAGATTCTAGCTGTGAAATATGGCTTAAATATTTGTCTGTGTATGTTGGCAGTACAGACAGTTTTGGAATGGATGGGTATCTGCTGTGGTGGAGAATTCATGGAATCACAGAATGGTTTGGGTTGAGAGGGGCCTTAAAGATCATCTAGTTCCACCTTCCCTGCCATGGGCAGGGACACCTTCCACTAAATCCACAGGGATTTCCTCTGTGTCACATTTATCTGCTTTTAAATGAGGTGTTGGCTGTGCTACCTTCTTTCCAATGCTTTCCAAGGCCAGGTTGGATGGGGCTTGGAGCAACCTGGTCCAGTCAAAGCCAGGTGCCTTTTCTGGAGGAGGGACCATATCAACGTAACTGGGCTGGAAAGCAGCACCCTTTCCAGAGCTGGGAAAGGCTTAATAAAAGTTAAAATCAAACCCAACTTATTGCTGCCTCCAAGGTTGAAAATCAGAGAAATAGCTCTCACTTGAGCTGAAATGAGTTGAGCAGAGAGCTCTGCAGTTGCAGATGCTCAGGTGTTGTACACATGCACGTCCTTGTTTGTGCTCTGCTATTAGGAAGCAGAAAATTACTGTATTTCCCACTAATTTGACAGTCTGAGACATCGTCTCATTGTTACTCAGCAACTTCCAGTGGTGAAGAGCTCCTCCAAATTGACCCCTGTGGGTGTCTTTCCTGTTGGAAAATAAGCACAAGCTCATTCTGCTGCTTTGCCTTTGGAGGAGTGGTATCAGCTTGGTGCTCACCTCCAGGGATCTATGAACCTGCTGTCTTGTGGGATCTTTCCTGATGTTTCTTTTCTGTCTCCCTGGCCAGAGGGTGAAGAAGAGGAGGAGGAAGAAGAAGAGGAGGAGGAAGAAGAGGAGGAGGAAGAGGAAGATGAGGAGGACAAAGACCTAGATCTGATGGATGAAAGCATGGAGGGCGACACGGAGCTGCCAGGTTTCACACTTCCAGGGGAGACCTCCCAGGATCCCATAGCTGGCCTGGAAAACCCTGTGGCCCAGCTGGCTGGGGTGTCCTACCAGGTTCCTGACACCATCGAGTGGGAGCAGCAGAACCAGGGTCTGGGTAAGAGAAAAAGCCTCTTCTCCCTTTACCCTCACAGAGGACATATCTCCTGCTCTGCGCTCTGCATGAGACAGTCCCTCGTGCCAGCAAGTCTCAGGGGTTGGCTCTCAAGCTAAACACAAAGCTGGTTCATTTATGGAGAAACCCCATCCACCAGCAACAACTGGTTGAACTGGGATGAGTCCCTGGCAGTGTGACCTCAGTTGTCCTTTTGGGGAGAATGTGAATACTCCAAACCTGCTCCTTCGTTCCCAGACCTTAGTGTTGTCTTGCTCCAAAGGTGGACAAATAAATAACTTCTCAGGTGAGGTTCCTGGGGAAATTTCAGTTCCCTTTGCCCAGCATGTGTTGGTGCAGGGATATATGTCCTGTGAGGGCAAAGGGAGTTGGGCAGTTGCCCATCAGCCCATTTGCTGCTTCAACAGCATTTTCCAAGTTCCAGTTTTCTTGGGAATGTGGTCCAGCCATGGGACCCTGTGCTGGCAGTGTTAAGACAAACCCACAAAGCCTCTATAAAGCTTTATAAAATTTCTTCCCACTGTACATTTAGGCCCTGTGTTTAGTGACTAGAACTAATTTATTTCACCTAGGAATCAGGGCTTATATATGTTAAATCCATGTGATGCAGTTCAAAGCTGGTGTGGGACAAGGTAGAGTTTAGAAAGGAACTTGCTCAGCTTGGCTTAGGGCCAAGGAATATTTTCCCAGAATACTCAATTCCAAACCAATCCCCATCAAGCAGCAGTAGGAACCTCTCAGGTGAGTTTGTGGGAGCTGAACCACATCTATAGAGAGGGTCTTTGTGTCTGACTCTCAGAGAATTAGCTGTTCTGAGAAGCTCATCAGCATTAGTAGCCCAATATCTAACTAGATGGGGGAGATTGGAACTAAACCATCTTTAAGGTCCCTTCAAACCCAAGCCATTCCATGGTTCTGTGGTTCTATGATTCTGGGAAAACTGAAGGCTTGCATGAGCTCACTGAGGCCATGGAATGAGCTGAACCCAGGTGGTGGGAAGGCTGATTTCCTGGGAGTGTGTGGGGAATGGGAAATACTGTCCCATCTTTGTGGCTGTACTGGGCTCATTTTCCCTGAGATGCTGCCGCAGGAGTAGAGCCCTTCCCCTCTTTCCAGTTTGTCCCAGGTAGGAATTTCTGCCCTGCTTCCCCTGCTCTGGGTTCGTGGGCACACATCAATCCATGCCTGGTCCTGGCTATGTGCTTCTTAGGGAAACAGGAAAGGTGGAAAAAGCATGTACAGCTTGTGTCAGCAGGAATTGGATTGTTAAGACCATAAGAAATCCCCCCAAACCTGGCAGGAGGCTGGAAGAGCTGCTCCCATTGTTCTGCTGGAGCACCTGGAGACACCAAACACACAGTACAGGGCTGGTAAAGCTTTAGATCTCCTGCATGGGCTACTTCTCTTTGAAACCCTTTTTCTCTGAGTGATTTTCATCTAAAGATACCTCTTTGAAATCAGCTTCCTGTTATTTTAAGGCAGCTTTGTAACCACTGGATGTCTCCAGCTGCAGCCCCTGGATGCAGCTGGGTCAGGGGTGTTGTGTTCCTGCCTGCTTCAGCCTTTGTGCACCCCAGGGAAGAGCTCTGTGTGTCTCTTCCTTCACCAGATAGTGCTGAGATGTGAGGAATTTCCCATATTGTGTGAGTGAAACATGGTTTAGAAGGGGAAGTTGTTCTGCTTCACCTGGGATGCAGCACAGGAGAGGAAGAACTGGAAAAAAAGATAATGGTACCCAACAGAGTAGGGGGTGAGGGTACAGCAGCCAAGCACCAAACTTTTACAGTTGGCATTTTCCATTTTTAAAATACTTTGCACCTGTGTCTTTCTCCTGGGGATGCACCTGTCCTCCAGCCTTCAGAATTGTGACATTTTAACGCTAAAATCTCTAGTACAGAGGAGCCCAGAAGTGTTGGAGTAGCAATTCTCAGGTCAGTTATTATCAAGCTTGCTTGGTCTGATGGCTGACACACTGTAAATCCCCAGAGGACAGGGAACTTGATCCACAAAACAGCTTGGCAGAACAAGAGACAGATCAGATTTTTGTAGTGGTCAGTGAGAAAGTGCTGGAGAAACAGAATCATTAAAACTGTCAGTTCTGGGCAGTCAGATGGTCCTACATGAACTCCAGCTGAGCAAAATCAATTTATAAGCACCAGTAACAAGACTGTCAGTTTTACAGCCCATCAGCTGACTCTCTAACCAGCAATATTTAGACAGAAAGTAAAGCAGAAAATGAGATAATCTGTGCAGAAAATGAGATAATCTGTGCCTTCCATAAAATAGGAGTCCTTCTGGTGGCCTGCAGCTCTGGAGAAGGAAGGTCTGAATATGATTTGGGATCTCTTTTGGTGTCCTGTTCAAATGCTTTGCCTTCAGAGGTTGTCAGTGAGGGACACAGCAGTACTTTGGGACCTCTCTGAATTCTATATGAGGTGACTTTGACCTCTCTGTACTTGTTTCTTGATCTGTATGTAGGTGGTGTGTGGTAGGAAAACATTAAACTCTTGGAGAACATCAGAGGGGCAGGAAGACCAGGCTGGATGGGGCTTGGAGCAGCCTGGTCTAAGGGGTTTTGGAACAAGATGGTCTTTAAGGTCCCTTCCAACCCAAACCACTCTGTGATTCTGTGATTCTATTATTCTATGAATCTTGGGCTTTTGAGGGATAAATACCCCCCCCTATTTCTTCCCTGCTACCTCCTTTGTGATGGTTTATGCATTACCAGGAGAACTGCAGTTGGTTTATACTTGTTCAAATCTATTGAACAGTTTTTGGTCCTTTAGTTACTCCTCATGAATCCTAAAGTAGATTGTCTTTATTGTACACTACCGTGGAAATCAAAACCCTTTACTTCTGTTGGGGGTGACTTCTATGGCTGTGCTCTTCTCCCAGTGCTCAAGTGTCTGTAACTGTTCTTAATTTAATGACCATGAGCCGAGATGAAAATGTCCCCAGACTTCCAAGCTGTTTGTTGATGCCTTAATGCTTGCATCATCCATGTCCCAAGATGAACAATTCCTGCTATCCATAGTAAAGTGACAGCAGGAGGTCTAGGGCAATTTACTAAGCCTTTAATTTTACTGCTTTGGGACATGCAGTAGTTTACTTTGTGCATTTAAAATCTGTGGAGTTGTTTGGAGTGACAATGACATTTTCACCTTGAAGCAATACAGAAATGTGATGTTTGGCTCAAGTTGTCAAAGCAAAGCTTGTTGTGGTGGGCTTTTTTTAAGGTGTTGAATGAAACTACCAGTTGCTTATCCTTGACCACCACTAACAGGAGACAACAGCAGTAAAGAGAAGAGAGACTGATTTGAACCATAAACTTTAACAGAAGAAACTCCATTTTTAAGCTCAAAACCTTTTATGGGCAAAGAGGAGCCACACCTCATATATATACACATATATACACCCAATAATTTATTGCTAATATAACTGTAATCTTTAGAGTAGGCACATTATTAATCCAGATTTAATTATCAAAGGAAAAGAAGTGGTAGTGCAGTTAGGATTGTTACACACACACTCCTCATTTCCTGTGCTTTATCCTGGTGTTGTGCTTGTCCTTGCTTCTGTGGGTCCTAAGCTTGGAGGTTTCATCTGGGGGTTTGTGGTGGCTCAACAACTTCTGGAGTCCTTGGCCAGGAGAAATACAATGTTCACGTTGATGTTTTCTTCTTTCTCAATTTCAGGTCCATTTGATATAATTTTTGTATGTTTGCTGACATGGTTTTGCACCTTGCTCTGTCTTCACTGACCTGCAATTTCATATTACATCTGAATTTACTGTCTGTGGTGGATTTTATGTGTGTCAGATACGATTTTTTTGTTTCTCTTTTTAACCCCAGACCCATTTTTTGTCCATATCTGCACTTCTTTAGCTGAGCATTGGTGTGTTCTTCACCTCCACCTGTCTGTGGCAATACCAGGTTACAGGGCTGTAGCTTGTGGGAAGTCACCTTTGTTGCCTGGTTCCACAGCATGGGTCGTAGGTTTCCATCTACCCATGTAGTTATTTTACACAGTGGAGTTTGGACCATCCCTGTAGATGGGATTTGGAGATAAACAAAATATAAAATAGCAATTTAGAAAGAAGTTATGAAGTGTGACAGTGTAATTCAAAACATGTAGCTTCCAAAATATAAACCATGTCTGTATTTCATATATTTTTGTGCTTTGGATGTTGATTCTTACCCTAATGGAAAGTCATATAACTCTCTCACTTAAGTAGTGACAAGGCACTTGCATAATAAACACGCTTTTAGAATGTGAATTTTTTTTTTATGATGGATAAAAAAATATCTGCAGCTCCGAGCAGCCCCTTATAGAGAAAATGGCTCTCACTGTATTGCAGGTCTGTGGCTGCAAATCACACTGCATAAACCATATAACAGATGCCACTGGTTAATGATGGTGAGGCAGAGAGGCAGAGGGACAGCAGTGGAAGATGATGAATATCTGAAATGTCATTTTTACAGGAAGATAGGATTAATGCCTTTATGGGCAAAAATAACCAGCATTAGGAAGGCAGGAGCTGAGACTCAGAAATTAGTAATATGTTCTTTAATTGGTGCCCCAAATGGATCTATTTTAAGTACTCCTACAGCTCGTGGTATTGGAACATCAGAGTGCCTTTTAATCTTTAATGCATTTATCTCCTTAATCGCCCTGGGAAGGTTGATTTCTGTCTTAAAGGTGGTGAGCAAAACCATGGAGAGGCCAAGTGACCCCACTGGTTTCATGAGAGAGCCTTTAGCAGAGCAGGGATTTGAAGGAAGGGAATGAAATCCGTGCTTGGTCATTGCCTTTCCCTTGCTGGAGGAAGGATGTGCACACCTGCATTCCTCCCTGGAATGGGAGCAAAGGGTCACACAGAGACACCATCCCAACAGAAGGGACTGAGCCCATAGGAATGCCAGGTGAGAGAGGCTGGCAGGAGCCAGGGTGAGGAGTGAAACCAGCAAATTTTCCTTCCCCAC